CCCAGTGACAGGAGAAGGTTTTTTTCATGCTTATTCCATTTGCACAGTAACTACATGCAGAGAGAGTAGAAATCTTTGATTTCATGGTTTACCTGTGCTCCTGTCACAGAAATCTTCACAAATGACATAAGAAATTGCTTTTCTTTTTTACTGCCACTGTGAAACCTCTTTCTGTTTTTATTTCTACCTTTCCTCAATCTCACAGTGCCTCCAAAGATTGCTTTCAAATGAGGTGTGCTCCCGACTGAATGGAAAGCAGCATACTCTCTGTTATGTTTCACAGATACCCAATCTGCTTGGCCTAGTGCATGCATATATTTTATGCTAAGAAATCTTAGCTGCATTTAATCTGCTCGTATTTTACTATCAGGGGAAATGCTTGTTCACCTTTTATATTAATCACTGCATGCTATTATTCCTGTATGCTATCCCATACTCTGATGACTAAGATCACTGAATGTGTAAATGCTTACTTTTATAATTTTTTTACTTTATGAGAAAATAAAGCGCCCTTATTAAAACTCAGACTATAACACCATTTCAATTAGGGAATATATTTGCTTCTAGTAAACACAACAGCCATGAAACAACACATAACATGGACAGATTTTAAATTATGACAGACTGATATTATCTCTTCAACTCAACTATTGATAGGATATTCAATGCTGCATACACGTGTGGCTATAATGAGATATTTATCTTGGAAATTAGACAACAAATTTGTGTTTATATTTTGTTTTTACATTTTCAGTAATGATTCAGTAAATATCTAAATTTATCACCTTATGCATTTGGTTTCAATGTTACTCAATCCAGCTAATGACAGGTACATGTAATTTATCCTCATTATAACTAATGGCTTTTGAACTACAGGAAATGATAAATGTGTATGTACATCCATCATATTTTGACACTTAAATGGATTACTTGAAAAGTTATACTTATGCTACTAATTTGCTCTCAGATACATACTTTCAAACTTATTACTCTATTGAACTGGACATCTTTCCATAGTTGTTCTAGTAAATGTACTCCATTGCACATGGAGCTGATCTTAATATCTCCTTCAGATATTTAGGCAAGCAGAAAAGACAGATGACTTTACCTATCCTTTTTAGTGGGCTCTATCCTGGCTTATTGAAAGAAGGACAATCTGAATTTATGTTTAATATATTGCATTCACATTAACAGAAATGCAGTTGCTCTTCTAAAATATATGGATTATTAGAATTCTAAAACACATTGATTTGCTAATAGTTTAACAACAAGGATAGATCTATCTGTACAGTTTTTTCATGGACCAGCACTTGCTCTGTAGGTGCCCCGTGCTAGTAAGACAAGAATGAGTTCCAGCCTGAAGACGCAATGCACAAGCTCACGTAGTAACTGCTGGAGCACGCTTCCTGGAATCAGAGTTATATTCAGCCAGCTTGGACTGCAGGTGCAGCAAACACAGACCTTGGTTCTCAGAGGAGGAGGAATGAGGAGTGAAGGTGCAACCTTTAGCCACGGTATTTAGTTTGCAGTAACTGTTGTTTTTGCAGATATCTGTGTGACTATACAGTTTTGTGCATGTTGTTATACAGAATGAACCACGTGTGTTGCTACTTTGAACCTGTGATTCAGCTGCCTCTGCAGGGGTCGGTTTTTTGGAATTATTCAGCCTTTTATCTATATACATTGCTCTGTGGTGGTGATATTTTAAGATACTATGCAAAGCATATTAGTTTAATTCATGCTAATTGACAGACAGCTTTCTTAGATTGCTGTTATTCTTATCTCTTGGAATAGTGAAGACAATGTCCATTTAGCAGTTATTGGATGGCTCTCAAGTGTATTTTCCTGTTTTGCATCACCACACTTGGGTAAGTCAATGTCTGCAGCGCATCAAATTTATCTGTGTACAGCAGGAGCAATGCTTTCCTACAAAAACGGCTGCTATACTCCTCATTCGTATGCTATGGATCATCACTTTAGAATCATGGCCCTTGTCACGTTCATTCTCCATTCAAGAACGTGCTTCTCTTCCCCTATACAATATCATGAATTTGCTGATAAGATCTCTGTATCCCATTAGTACCTGAGTGCAATGTGCTCAGCACAGTGCACTGAACTATGCTAGCAAATTTATTCAGAAACTGCATGCTGGTATATACTGAACTCCTGCACCCTCTTCACTATTTATCAGACACTTTTATGCAGGCTTTTAAGATCAAATCATTGCAATTTAAGATGAAGTATGCATTTATTTTATATTGATAACCTGCTATTAAGTCTCCTTTAAATACTTTCCCCCTCAGAATATACTCTGTTTAGCACAACTCTAGACTGTGAATTCAATATAAATATATGCAGTTTTCTTAGTTAAGTGGTCTGCTGGAGTTCCTTAGATGCTTTACGCAGCTACAGCTGAAATTCTGATTAGATTGAGCAAATGAGAAAGGCAATATATGTAAACTGAGTAATTAGTGACCCTAGGCCTGCATATGTTTTCCCAGGTCTGTGAATCTTTTGTGAATTTCCAAGAAAGAAAAAAAACAGTAGAACATGCAGGCAGTAATAAAAGCTAAACTAGGAAAAATATAACCTAGAAAAATACCTGGAAAAGACAATATTAATCCATTAATCTTTAATAAAAATTAGCACACGGAAACATCTGGGAATAATTTGATAATAATTACGCTTCTAAAATAATGATATTAATAATAGTAACAATTATATTAATTATATTAATTAATAATAATAATTATGCTTCTAAAAAGCTCAGAAGGCTAGAACAGCTCTACACTGGCAATGGAGCAGTCATATAAGACAGCAGGTTCCTCTGCAATACCAGCAAATAAATATTTCAAAGAAATAGTATCATATGTGTTGCAAGAACACCGAGGTGTTAGAGTCAGGAATCAAGCTGCTTTGGTGAGCAATTTGATACCAAAAAAAGGACAAGAAAGTTCCAAAAGCTTATAAGATGATAGAAAACGTAAGATGAAAGAAAAGAGAGGGGCTGCAACAGATGGGGGAAGCAGACAAAAGAACAAAGCAGTTATGAATAGTGCATGATTACTATAAAGCCATTTATTCAAAAGGTATGCAGAATAATACTTAAAATAACCCTTTCTATCAGAAGGTCTCTCTTGGTGACCGTACCGCCAGATAATTTTATCGTGTATTATATGTATTACGAGTGTAACTGATCGTAATCACATGCCCTTTTGGAATCTGTTTTCAAATGCTGAAGGACAAGAAGATAAACAGAACAGTCAACATAGCTTTAACACCAGCTAATCATATTTGACTAGCTTGATTGCCTTTCATGATGAAATGGCTGGCCAAGTGGATGAAAGAACTGTGGGTATAATATACCTTGACTTTTGTAAGGCTGTGGACACCATCTCCCGGAGCAGTCACATTTGGAAACTGGGGAATTAAGGGCTGCACAAATGGACTGTTAACAGTTTGAAAATTAGCTGGACTGCCACGTCCAGCAGGTGGGCAGTAACAAGTGAAGCACCTCATCAGTCAATGCGGAAACTCATGTTGTAAAACTTCTTCGTCAATGACCTGGATAATGAGACACAACGCACCTTCAGCAAATTTGTGAACAATATTACATTAAGGGGAGTGGTTGACACAAGCACTGCAACAGAGGTGCAATCTAAAGCGGTCCCAATAAAGCTGAGGGATTGGCAAGCAGAAACCTCATGCAAAGTTCTGCACGTGGGGTGGAGCAGCTGGGCGCACAGGCTGGGAACCCGCCAGCTGCGTAGCAGCCCTGTGCAAAAGGCTCTAGGAGTCACAGCAGACGTCCAGCTGAACGTGAGCCAGCAGTGCGGGGCCAACGGCGTAACGGACTACACGAAGAGGAATGTAGATCAAAGAAAATTTTAAATCCCCTCGTCTTGGCACTGGATAGGCTCCACCTGAAAGGAAGGAAGCATGTGGTGAAAACTGAAGGATCCAGAAACTGGCTACCAAAATTGCCAAAGTCTTAGACCACCTGCCTCACATCGAACGATTCTGGGAGCTGTATTTGTTTAGGCTGGCAAGTAGGAGGCTAAGGCACAATCTACAGGAAACCCACAACTCCTTGAAGAACAGTTAACAGAAAGGAAACCCACAACTATTTGAAGAACAAAGTTGATGGACCCAAATTCTTTTCATGAATAGCAAACGGCCTAAGAGCCAGTGCCAACAAACTGTGGCTTGCGAGTTGTGTGTAGGAATGCCAAATAGGCCAATAGGATTTTTACTAAGAAGAAATATATCATACAGGAAGGAACCAATTATTTAACCTTCTAACTCTAGGTGATAAGCTGGGGCCTCTGACTCAACTCTGACCTATCAGAGCTTTGCTCTGTCGCTTCTTGATAAACTGCTTGCACAAAATAAAACTGAGTAACAATTCTAAAATCAAATTAATGGCCTTCTCTGTTGGGAAAGCCTGCACTTAGACAAAAAGACAAGCACGTTCCTCTAGCATTTGAGGAAGCACAGCCAGAAAACGATAACACGAGTACAACGTCCTAGCCATGGGTGAGGGAAGATTAACAAGAACAAAAAAGAACGGCAACAGTTCTTCGTTGTGTTCATTATATTTCAGATTCGTAAATCAGAAAACTAAATGCATTACGCATTTTGATAGCAACCAGTACGATTTGCGCTATCGCTGTATAAATTATTAATAGAGTTGGGGGGAAGGAAAAAAACAATGACATTGGCAGGCTGCGCGAGTCACAGCTCC